TACTGAATTGCACAAAACGCATGGTTGCACCGGCTAGTCTAGTGAGCGTTGCTATTTATCTTTAGATTTACCGGGGTTTTTTTCTGTGCTTTTTAGCCAAGTCCAGCACTTTACAACACTTTCCTGTCCTGTGTTTGTTTTTATTTGATTAAATTTTGACGAATTTTTTCTCTCGATTAGCTTTTTCTACGCATAAATGATGTTTTTTACGCTTGTTTTTAGCAAGAGAATTGTTCCATTTTTTCCCCCCTTCTTCCATATTTGCCACTGACTAAAAGCACTGTCAAAATTTTTACAGCTAAATTCATGTTTGACGTTTCAAATTTGGATGTGGTGATGCACAGCGGAAGTGTTTTTTAGATTCAAATTGTTATTTTTAGCAACAGTTTGGGATCGGCCTGAGAATTACTATACTGCTGAACAGTACGCAATGAAATTGGCTGTTTTGGGCACTACCACAGACGCACTGACACAAAGTAATATTACCGTGCCGATTAAAACTGAAGCAGGTTAGTCCTCTTAATGAGCGCTGGGCGTTTGTTTTGTTGGAAAGGGTCGTTTTTTGCTAGACGGTGTTGTGTAACATCGCGTATCTCGAAACAAAGACGAGAAAAAGGCACCGCTTTTAGCCGAATGTCACCAAATTCAAAAACAGGTAGTTTATAATTTCAATTCTAACCGGAGATTTTATTTTTAACAGAACACACCGAAATTTAGGCATATTTCCCCAGATTTGGCCTGTTTCAGAAGCATCAAAATTGGGGGTGGTGTTTAGGTACGTTAGAACTGAAGTATGCTTCCTTTTTGTTAAAAGCCAAATTTATTGTGCAGAAAAGCGAAACAGTACTTTGGGCGTGCCGACGCCAAACGCATCGAAAAAGAAGACAACGGTAAAAGCTTCGCCTTCGGAACAAGCAGACATAAAGTGTAACGCGGCAGCAGCTGATGCTGCAAATTTCGTTATCAATGAATGTGATATACCGCTGCCTCCATCTTCTCAGGTATCGCTGACTGCTTTAAAATAACCCTTCGCTTTCCTCTCTTCTCTCTGTCTTTTCACTGCTCTCTTCTTATGCTATTTGGCGCATGCCCACATCGTATACACGGCGGATAGGAGGCTGTACTGATGATTCCCAATTCTACCCACCGGTCTGTGTTTGCAGCTAAGGGATGAAACACAGACGCATCCAGGCATCCCTTTTTGTACATGATGCTTAGTCTGCTTCTTTTTTCCTTATTCTTTTATTTTTTATATTTTTTTTGGATGAATTTTTGGGCAAATTTTTTGACATTTTCTACACTTCCATTCACTGTTGCTATAGCATTTCTCTCAGTATGCTTTTTTGCTCACTGTCTGCTCGAACTGAGAGTATATAATGAACGCCGAGTGAACAAAAGCAGCGCTTCAAAATCTGCAGTTTCACTTCGAATTTATCCCGATGAACATATTCTTACATATATTTCGCAAGCCTTTACTAATTATCTTCACTTCAAATATAATGATATGGGAAGTTTTTTTTGAAAAGGTAATTAGTCGTGACGTTTGTTAGAAAGCAGCATTTGATAATACTATTATCCAAAAATTTACTTTTGCAGGAAAAATTAGAGGTGTGTTTTCTAAAAAAAAGTAGAAAAACTTAGTTCTGGGCGAGGAAGTACTATTTTGCACTTTTCTCGATTTGTTATAACGAGACAGGTGTTCGATAATTGGGATGGCCGAAGTACAAACTGAAGCTCTTCGTAGACAACATTTTTGCCTATATTTCTCTTTCCTTTCCAGGTTTTCTGTCAACA